TGGGATTAGTTTGTGCCACAGGTGTGGCTTGCTTTATAAAATAGCTCTGTTGTTAAAAACCCTGATGGCAAATAAACATTCTGAAAGCTATTATTTTCCCATATATGGACATGCTTAATTTCCAGCTCAGTGTTACTCTACTTTTACGCCTCGCCACAATGTGGACACTGATGAACAAGAGAACTGCTACCCCGTGCCATCCTGTTGTGAACCTGACACAGCCCCACAGATACACAGCAGTCCACAGAGGCACCTTGCTTAATTAAAACAACTCCAGTCTCAACCCTTTGTAAAACATTCATGATTTATCTGTCAGGCCAACTCAGTGTTTTTACACATTGACTTTGGAGGGCGGCAGTTGCAAGGACTCCCCTACCTTTGGCCATGTTCATGGCCTCCAATTGTGCATCTCTTTGGGCTTCTTCATCCATCTAAAACTAAATAATGTCATACTTGAAGTGGTTGTGCTTTTACATTTTTCTTTCTCCATGTCAGTGTCTTTTTGACCTTCTCCTTCTTTGTTCTCCTATGAAGTCCATAGTTAGAAATCCTGGACCCAGAGCCCCCAAGCCTTGTACAGTCTCGTGATGCTCCCTGTGTCTTTTTCTGCAGATACTGGGCAGATCCCACTCTTCGCAGTTCTGTGCCTTTGGTGATGCCGTCACCTTTCTTTTTATTTACACTCGCAGTATGTGTTTAGAAGTGCAGTTCATTAGTGTGGTCGACAAATAAAGAATTAGTATATCTGGTTGTCACAGAAAATGTGTATGTGCTGTGGTGTACAAATGTGTGGACGTGACATGTCAGCAGTTCTCGTGGAAGTATAATCTCCCTTCATCCCGTTAGAAACATACTCAGGCTGGCTGGTTGGCTCAGTTAGTTAGAGCCTGGTTGTCGATCACATCAAAGACCAGGGTTTGATCCATGTTACTGGCCAGCCAAAAGAGAAAAAGAAAAAAAGGAAAGAAAAAAACTTAACTGAGGATTTGATTTGTGACAATTTAATTAGGATTGGCCTTTTATTTACCTTTATTACCAGTAAAGAAAAAAAAGAAAGGATTAAATTTTAAAAATTAATAATATTGACAAGAGTCCATATTGAGACCTTGTTATTTTGTACTGAGTGATAATACATCAGTGCTGTTCAGCTTTATATACTGGGTTAAG